AACATTGTGACCTACTAATATCGTCTAACCTAACATTGCGACCTACTTATATCATCTAACCTAACATTGCGACCTACTTATATCATCTAACCTTACATTGCGACCTACTAATATCATCTAACCTAACATTGCGACCTACTTATATCATCTAACCTAACATTGCGACCTACTTATATCATCTAACCTAACATTGCGACCTACTTATATCATCTAACCTAACATTGCGACCTACTAATATCATCTAACCTAACATTGCGACCTACTTATATCATCTAACCTAACATTGCGACCTACTTATATCATCTAACCTAACATTGCGACCTACTTATATCATCTATCCTAACATTGCGACCTACTAATATCATCTAACCTAACATTGCGACTTACTTATATCATCTAACCTAACATTGCGACCTACTTATATCATCTAACCTAACATTGTGACCTACTAATATCGTCTAACCTAACATTGCGACCTACTTATATCATCTAACCTAACATTGCGACCTACTTATATCATCTAACCTTACATTGCGACCTACTAATATCATCTAACCTAACATTGCGACCTACTAATATCATCTAACCTAACATTGCGACCTACTTATATCATCTAACCTAACATTGCGACCTACTTATATCATCTAACCTAACATTGCGACCTACTAATATCATCTAACCTAACATTGCGACCTACTTATATCATCTAACCTAACATTGCGACCTACTTATATCATCTAACCTAACATTGCGACCTACTAATATCATCTAACCTAACATTGCGACCTACTTATATCATCTAACCTAACATTGCGACCTACTTATATCATCTAACCTAACATTGCGACCTACTAATATCATCTAACCTAACATTGCGACCTACTAATATCATCTAACCTAACATTGCGACCTACTTATATCATCTAACCTAACATTGCGACCTACTTATATCATCTAACCTAACATTGCGACTTACTTATATCATCTAACCTAACATTGCGACCTACTTATATCATCTAACCTAACATTGCAACCTACTTATATCATCTAACCTAACATTGCGACCTACTTATATCATCTAACCTAACATTGCGACCTACTTATATCATCTAACCTAACATTGCGACCTACTTATATCATCTAACCTAACATTGCGACCTACTAATATCATCTAACCTAACATTGCGACCTACTAATATCATCTAACCTAACATTGCGACCTACTTATATCATCTATCCTAACATTGCTACCTACTTATATCATCTAACCTTACATTGCGACCTACTAATATCATCTAACCTAACATTGCGACCTACTAATATCATCTAACCTAACATTGCGACCTACTAATATCATTTAACCTAACATTGTAACCTACTAATATCATCTAACCTAACATTGCGACCTACTTATATAATCTAACCTAACATTGCGACCTACTAATATCATCTAACCTAACATTGCGACCTACTTATATCATCTAACCTAACATTGCGACCTACTAATATCATCTAACCTAACATTGCGACCTACTTATATCATCTAACCTAACATTGCGACCTACTAATATCATCTAACCTAACATTGCGACCTACTTATATCATCTAACCTAACATTGCGACCTACTTATATCATCTAACCTAACATTGCGACCTACTTATATCATCTATCCTAAGATTGCGACCTACTTATATCATCTAACCTAACATTGCAACCTACTTATATCATCTAACCTAACATTGCGACCTACTAATATCATCTAACCTAACATTGCGACCTACTAATATCATCTAACCTAACATTGCGACCTACTTATATCATCTAACCTAACATTGCGACCTACTTATATCATCTAACCTAACATTGCGACCTACTTATATCATCTAACCTAACATTGCGACCTACTTATATCATCTAACCTAACATTGCGACCTACTTATATCATCTAACCTAACATTGCGACCTACTTATATCATCTAACCTAACATTGCGACCTACTTATATCATCTAACCTAACATTGCGACCTACTTATATCATCTAACCTAACATTGCGACCTACTAATATCATCTAACCTAACATTGCGACCTACTTATATCATCTAACCTAACATTGCGACCTACTTATATCATCTAACCTAACATTGCGACCTACTTATATCATCTAACCTAACATTGCGACCTACTTATATAATCTAACCTAACATTGCAACCTACTTATATCATCTAACCTAACATTGCGACCTACTTATATCATCTAACCTAACATTGCGACCTACTAATATCATCTAACCTAACATTGCGACCTACTTATATCATCTAACCTAACATTGCTACCTACTTATATCATATATCTTAACATTGCTACCCACTTATATCATCTAACCTAACATTGCGACCTACTTATATCATCTAACCTAACATTGCGACCTACTTATATCATCTAACCTAACATTGCGACCTACTAATATCATCTAACCTAACATTGTAACCTACTTATATCATCTAACCTAACATTGCGACCTACTTATATCATCTAACCTAACATTGCGACCTACTAATATCATCTAACCTAACATTGCGACCTACTTATATCATCTAACCTTACATTGCGACCTACTAATATCATCTAACCTAACATTGCGACCTACTTATATCATCTAACCTAACATTGCGACCTACTAATATCATCTAACCTAACATTGCGACCTACTTATATCATCTAACCTAACATTGCGACCTACTTATATCATCTAAACTAACATTGCGACCTACTTATATCATCTAACCTAACATTGCGACCTCTTGCTCAATCTCATCGTACTCATCTTCGTCTTCGTCCTCTGCAATTATACAATTAGGAGCAATTAACTTATTCTGGTAATAATAAGTAATCTAACTAGGATCTAAGAAGTGATCAAGTTGCGCGATGACAAATTTTTATATTGATATTAGACACATAACTGCAATATTTGACAGATTATTATATTTATTATTATATTTATGATATTATACACATAACTGCAATATTTAACAGATTATTATATTTATGATATTAGACACATAACTGCAATATTTTACAGATCATTATATTTATGATATTAGATTCCTCTTACCGGGATGGTCTGGGTCCACCAGGAAGTCCTGGAGTCCCACTCTGAACTCCTCAAAAGAGACATGTCCGTCCCCGTCATCATCCAGTGTTCTCATGAGAAGGGGAACTTGTACTGTCGCCTGGATAGTGACGTCATCATTATAACGTGACGTCATCATTATATCTCGGGATAACGTGACGTCAACATTATAGATCGGTATACCGTGACGTCATGATTATAGATCAGTTTAACGTGACGTCATCATTATAGATCAGTATAACGTGACGTCATCATTATAGATCAGTATAACGTGACGTCATAATGTGTCATCATTATATCTCGTGAAGGCTCGCACATTTTCACCCAATTAATTTAAAAAAAAGTTTGACCTGATCGGGAGGAACCCCAAGTTTGCCGAGTAAAGTGACCATCTCGTGGGCGTCAATGTAGCCACTGTCGTCCTCATCACACTGACGAAACAGGTCCCGCAGGTGGGTGTCCTGATCTGAACTCTGAGAAGGACGGTGTGTAGTGCATTACACACACACACACGCACACGCACACACGCACACACACACACACACACACACACACACACACACACACACACACACACACACACACACACACACACACACACACACACACACACACACACACACACACACACACACACACACACACACACACACACACACACACACACACACACACACACACACACACACACACACACACACACACACACACACACACACACACACACACACACACACACACACACACACACACACACACACACACACACACACACACACACACACACACACACACACACACACACACACACACACACACACACACACACACACACACACACACACACACACACACACACACACACACACACACACACACACACACACACACACACACACACACACACACACACACACACACACACACACACACACACACACACACACACACACACACACACACACACACACACACACACACACACACACACACACACACACACACACACACACAAATTTTACTTACCATTTTGTCAGATCGTTCTTCAGTTAAACAAGCGTAGCCAGGGCAACGGAATAAGAGATTGCATTACAACGTACATAACGAGTCATCCTAGGGTAGATTTAATTAATATGATCAAATTTGTAGCCCCCCAGTTACCTCGAACTGCAAGATTGCAGGGAAGATGCCAATAAAATAGATAAATTTATTAGGTGTAAATGAAGGCAAATAAAATGATGCTAATTTATGGTTGTAACGACAGGTTAGGTCGGTTTTAACCCGTCGTTTCAATTTGTATTATAATTATTATATATATTATATATACTAGCAGGAACCCGTCTAACCCTAAAGTGGTGTCAAGACTCGAGAGACTAAAATATATATATATCGTCTCGCTTTATATATAGTAAGATTATTATATATTTTCCGCTTATTTTAACCCCGTGCTTGTGTGAGGCACTGTTTGGATAATATAAAATTAGAATTGGATCACTACGTGTAGGTGCATATCCGTTCATTTCTTGTGAAATGTTCCTGAGGCTATGAAAGTAACATCAATTGATATATTTTTGAGCAAAAAAATTGGTTTGGTCACATGCAATTACGACTGTTTAGGGTTACAATTACGGTTACAGTTTGTGTTACACTTACAGTAAGGGTTAGGGTTACAGTTAGGGTACAGGTTTACCATAGAAACCGAAATCAATATGTATGAACTTCCTCATTAATGATGTACAATTTTTGTTTAACTTAACCGCAACTGAAGGCACAAGAGTTCTTTACTACTAGTTACTACTGTAACTCAAGTGACCCCTACATCAAAAAAGTGTACTCTAACCATAAGGCTATTGCAGACACACAGAAGATGTGGTCTTATCCCAAAGAGCTGAAAGACCGTCAGCGCCAACTTTACTTCCAAGAGTTAGTTGGAAAACCTGCAGTTGGTACAACTGGCCTCGGGTATGGGACAAGATATGAGGACACATCAGAGAGGAAACTGCTAACCAACATGGTGAGGACCTTTGATGAAGAGACACTTATTTGTTCACTTTTTGACAAAAAGCGGCAAAACCTCTTTCTCACATGGGAAAATACAATGACATTTGACACCACGTGGAATAACTTGATCTATCAACTTAGTCCGGAACTGTTAAAGTTTCATGTCAATGCTATTCATGACACTGCGTCAACACCTAGCAACCTAAAGCTTTGGAATAAAGCCGTTTCAGGAAACTGTAAACTCTGCAGCAAACAAGGGACACTCAATCATATCCTGACGTTCTGCAAGGTTGCACTAAGACAGGGACGTTTCAACTGGCGCCATGATCAGGTCCTACGTGAAATCATGAAGACTGTTTCATCACAGATTGAAGAGTTTAATTCCGACATCGCCAAGGAATCGAAGAGGGCACCGTCGGTCTTTCACAAGGCAGGCAATAAGCGCGAGAAGGTTACCTTAGCTGACCCAACTCATCATAAGACCCAAAGATATTTCTTTTCAGATGCCAACGACTGGAAGATAATATTTGATGAGGATGAGAGACAGAGGAACTTCCCGCAGCACATTGCAGCTACACCACTAAGACCTGATGTAGTGATCTATTCAGATAAAGCAAAGAAGGTTTATCTAATGGAGCTGACTTGTGGAAATGAGCAGAACTTTGCTGATCAAGAGAAGCGAAAGATGAAGAGATATCAGCAGCTGACAGAAGAGATAGAAGCCAACGGATGGGCTTGCAAGCTCCAGACAGTAGAAGTGGGAGCTCGAGGCATTTACAACTATAGCCTCCCAACCTTTATGAACCACCTGAACGTAAACAACAAAGAGAAGAAGAAGGCCTGCATGAAGATCGCTGAGATCAGCCTGAGGGCATCGTATACCATCTATTTGTATAGTAGGAGCGTAGAATGTTTGGGCCCAGAAAAACATGTTTAATACCGCTATGAACCCGTCATAAGCCGGGGACTACTATGAAAGTGATGATGCTGTGTTGTTGAAAGACCTTCGACCAATCAAAGATGTACCTCATCACGCCAAGCAGTTATGCTTGTAGGTGAATATACACTTATAGAGTACAACAACTTTATAACACTCCTTATGATTGGAAATTGACCCGAGTGAGGAGGGTTATCCTCACACTGATTAACGGATTGGAATCTCCTTGGAGATATGGCGTTTACTCGTCAAAGGGAAGTTGTATGGTTTGATGGTTATGCCAGTAGAGTGACACGACTTCCCCTCTCACTCTGCGCCTACCTGACTTCTAACTGAGGGTGACGTTTCTACGTCGGGCACCCTCACGAAAACAAATGACCGGGAAGTCCCTTGGGTGTGAACCCCAGCTCCCCTGCTACTATTTCACCCACAGCAACTAATAGCCAGCAAAATGATAGTGGAAACAACACAGGACGGAGTGTTACACACGACCAACAGTGTGATAAGTGTAAAAGGTGGTTTAAGCACGTGAAGAAACACGCGAGATTTTGTAAGCAGACACCGGACAAGAGCCTGGAAGAGGATGCCGTAGGCATTATCGGTCAGGAAGGAGGTAACACGGAGACGGAACCCAGCCAGGATACAAACCACAGTGCAAAATGGAGGACGTCTACGTCTGCAAACTTTAGATCTCACGCAGATCCACCAGAACCGGTAGTTATTAAAACTCGATTAAAACTACCTAAGGCCAATGATATTAGGTGGGACAAGATTGATCAAGACCTCGGTCTAATTGGTCTCCAGTTCACTACACACAGCGACCCTATTAAGGGTTTGGAGTTACTTGAGAACACCACCTATGACTACCTCGAGTTGATATGCGAAGTTGGTTCAACAAACATTATACCATCGAAGAAAAAACCGAGACTTGATGCTGAGTGCAGACAGTTGAGGGAAATGAAGAAAGAGAGTAGAAAGGAATGGAAGAGAGTATGTGACTCGAATGATGATGAACAGGTTAAAAGACAGAAGATTTCTTACCTGAAACTAGTACGACTTCATAACAAAGCAAGAAAGACCGCCCAGAAGAAAGAAAGGAAAAAGATGAAAGAGAATAGCTCCAAACTCTTTAGAAGAAACCCTTATGAGTATGGTAAGAAACTGCTCACGAAGGAAGAAACTAAAGATAAAGAGCCTGAGTTCGACAGTGAAGAAGCATCTAAGTTCTTTGAAAAGGAGTACAAAGATGATGACCGAGAGCGTGACTATGTAAACCCCACAGGACTGAAAGACCTTGACAAACCTAATTGGATCTGCAGTACAGCGCCACCCACATGGGATGAATTCCACCTAAAGCTTAAGTCAAGGAGAAATAAGTCAGCACCTGGGTCAAATGGTGTCAACTACCTGATCTACAAGAAGTGTCGAACTTTCAGTCACCATCTACACCATCTGATATGCAGGATTTGGAAAACAGGAGTTGTCCCCCCACAGTGGAAGGTGGGAGTGAGTACATTAATTCCTAAAACGGATGATCTAAAAGATCCTGGCAAGTTCCGTAACATCACACTCCAAAACTGTAGCGGGAAGCTGTTCTTTGCCATCTGGGGAGACCGTGTACTTGAGCACATGACACGAAATCTGTTCATTGACACCTCAGTACAGAAAGGTTTCATGAAGAAAACCCCTGGTTGCTTAGAACACACTCAAGCCCTCCTTGAAGAGATTAAAGATGCTAAAAGCCACAGAAGACAAGTCCACGTCATCTGGATTGACCTTATGAATGCGTATGGGAGAGTCCCGCACAGCCTTATTATTTATGCCCTACGCCGGTACCACCTACCTGAAAGCTTCATTAAGCTTATAATAGAGTATTATGGAAGCCTCAGTGTCCTAGTTAAGTGCAGGAAATGGACATCCAGAACATTCTGGTATGAGCTAGGCCTGTTCCAGGGAGACCCACTGTCCGTGATCCTGTTCCTTATAGTATTCAACATCCTACTGGAACTTCTAGCTGTACTGTGCAGTCAAGTTGGGTATGAGCCAAGCTTCAGTGATAGCAAGACCTCAAAGAAAGCATTTGCTGATGACCTAACCCTGTTGTCGAAGAGCGAGAAGGAGATGAAGAAGATGTTGAAGGTAGTAGAAGAGTTCCTGGACTGGTCGAAGAAAATGAAGGCTAAACCATCGAAGTGCCTGTCTATGTCTATGAAGTGTACTGGAGGAAAGTACAATACCTATGATGCAGAGTTTGTACTAAGCGAACAACAGGTGCCGTCCATTATCCAAGCACCAATGAAGTTCCTAGGAATGTACATGTATGTAGATCTTGAGGTAAAGGAAATTCGGTCCATGATTAAGAAGAAGTTAGAGGACCTTTTGGAAACAACGTCTAATGATGAAATCACCGGTCCAATGAAGGCGTGGGTGTATAACAACCTCATCATTAGTAAGATGTCATGGGGGTTTACTGTTTATAACCTACCCATCACATTTGTGAGAGAGCTTGAGGCACTGTGTAACAGATACCTTAAGAAGTGGCTAGGGACTGCGCATCCTTGTACCACCACCGTCCTCTACAGGAGTAGAGACCAGAAAGGATTGCAGCTGAAAAACATCTGCACTGAGTACAAAGTCATCCAACTTATTAAGGGACACCAACTTTGTAACTCAAGTGACCCCTACATCAAAAAAGTGTACTCTAACCATAAGGCTATTGCAGACACACAGAAGATGTGGTCTTATCCCAAAGAGCTGAAAGACCGTCAGCGCCAACTTTACTTCAAAGAGTTAGTTGGAAAACCTGCAGTTGGTACAACTGGCCTCGGGTATGGGACAAGATATGAGGACACATCAGAGAGGAAACTGCTAACCAACATGGTGAGGACCTTTGATGAAGAGACACTTATTTGTTCACTTTTTGACAAAAAGCGGCAAAACCTCTTTCTCACATGGGAAAATACAATGACATTTGACACCACGTGGAATAACTTGATCTATCAACTTAGTCCGGAACTGTTAAAGTTTCATGTCAATGCTATTCATGACACTGCGTCAACACCTAGCAACCTAAAGCTTTGGAATAAAGCCGTTTCAGGAAACTGTAAACTCTGCAGCAAACAAGGGACACTCAATCATATCCTGACGTTCTGCAAGGTTGCACTAAGACAGGGACGTTTCAACTGGCGCCATGATCAGGTCCTACGTGAAATCATGAAGACTGTTTCATCACAGATTGAAGAGTTTAATTCCGACATCGCCAAGGAATCGAAGAGGGCACCGTCGGTCTTTCACAAGGCAGGCAATAAGCGCGAGAAGGTTACCTTAGCTGACCCAACTCATCATAAGACCCAAAGATATTTCTTTTCAGATGCCAACGACTGGAAGATAATATTTGATGAGGATGAGAGACAGAGGAACTTCCCGCAGCACATTGCAGCTACACCACTAAGACCTGATGTAGTGATCTATTCAGATAAAGCAAAGAAGGTTTATCTAATGGAGCTGACTTGTGGAAATGAGCAGAACTTTGCTGATCAAGAGAAGCGAAAGATGAAGAGATATCAGCAGCTGACAGAAGAGATAGAAGCCAACGGATGGGCTTGCAAGCTCCAGACAGTAGAAGTGGGAGCTTGAGGCATTTACAACTATAGCCTCCCAACCTTTATGAACCACCTGAACGTAAACAACAAAGAGAAGAAGAAGGCCTGCATGAAGATCGCTGAGATCAGCCTGAGGGCATCGTATACCAACTATTTGTCCAGAAACAATACCATATGGACAGATGATTGGGAGTTAGTCAAGAGACCAGTAATAGCATAGTAGGAGCGTAGAATGTTTGGGCCCAGAAAAACATGTTTAATACCGCTATGAACCCGTCATAAGCCGGGGACTACTATGAAAGTGATGATGCTGTGTTGTTGAAAGACCTTCGACCAATCAAAGATGTACCTCATCACGCCAAGCAGTTATGCTTGTAGGTGAATATACACTTATAGAGTACAACAACTTTATAACACTCCACTGAAGGCACAAGAGTTCTTTACCAGACAGCGATCAGCCTGTCACTCCACCATATCTTCATTTGCAAACAGTAAGCCTGGGCTCCTCAGGTAAGATTTTATTTGTTTCGTCTGTAAAATTATATAATATCTACAATAAATAATTTAGAAAATGTGTATAAACAAATTTAGGAGACCTTAAAGTTTGCCTATCTGGGCTGATAAAGACTTTAACAAAAAGTTACGGAAATGCCTGGCTCTAGTCAAAATCTGCTGCACGATTGTGGAGCTCGTCAAAGTCACCTTAACAGCCACTTGTTTCTTATCCTTGGGTTTGTTCAAACCAATGACCTATACCTACAATGTAAAATACTGGGTAAAAATGAGTCTAATGCTGATAACTCTGTTAATCCACGTATTAAACCATGTGACAAGTGTGTCCGCTCTAAATTGGTAGTTCATAATAAACTTGCTAGACCTTTATGTTATCAAAAACTAGGAGCCGAATTATATTCCAAGGAATCAACCAAACCATTATTTACCAGCCATAAACTCCTTACTGTTCATAATCTTTACAGACTTCGTACTATAACGGAACTTTTTAAAATAGTGAAATATAGGGTCTCTCTACTCTTTACTTAACATGTCTAAACTGAGGGATAACCAACTTATACCGCCAAAGCCCAGCTATAACTTTATTTATAAATCTTCTCGGCTGTGGAATCAATTCAAGGACTCCAACCCACAGAATAAAGTTGACTTTGTTAACACATCCTGCAACTCAATCAAATCAAGGCTTTACCGATCTCTTCTAGATGCCCAAAGCAGGTTCGATAATGAGTGGCACAATGGCAACTAACAGTTTTGGGCAGTCCTAAATAATTGATAAAACGTGGAATTTATGTAAACAAATACTTAAATATTACCGTTTTTGTACGCCGCAATACGTAATATATATTATATTGGCCGATCATGGGGGGTAATTCGGAATCAGCGTCCGAAAATACATTGATTGAAGTCGGGGGCCCTTTTAGAACAATCTCGAAGATCGACTGTAGAGTGATTTAGCACGCTCGCTTTATATCACTAACTATGTATTTCCCAGGGCTTTGCTGTATTGTGTATAAGCGTATGACTTGATACTGTATGACTTGATACGATTCTTTACTACCTTTTATATAACAACGGTGTAGTTACTGGTACCAATACACAAGGTTAACACTTAGTGTGGTGACTTGGGGTCCATAAATGTAACAATACAAGCTGATAAACCAAAAAGAACAACTAGGGTAGGTAGGTAGCTCTGGTGGGTGCGTAAACTTTACGGTCTGCTCTCTCCAAGATCAGCCTGCTTCTCCATTTTACCTTGAAGCCTTATTTCTAGTTTTTATAAATACAATGCAAGCGCATGTTTACTAATCTTAATCTACTTATCAACTCAATAGTCCAAGTCACCATATAGTAATACTCGTATTATATTCCTTAGTAATAGAATAACTTTAAAGTTTTTCAAATTGTTGCTATTTTGCTAGCTTTTATTTTTGGCTTTTCACCAAGTTCCATCAACACTTGACCGACCTCGATTCTACAGTATCCTCAACTAATGCTACAATCACAGATATCAAGATATCAAGCTGCTTTTTCTTGTATTAAAAGCGAGCAGCTCTTTCTGCAGATCAACTATTGTCCCCTGACATTTCTGATTATATTTCTCCAGCTGATCAATGTACAACGATTGTTCATATATAATTTTTAACGCAACATCAAGACTTTTAGACATGACTTCCCTGGAGATTTCTCGTTTACCATCGATCGAAGCTATGAACTGTACACGCGTTAACATGGTCTGCATTAGTAAGCCTGAGAGTATCCCGGATCCATTCAGCTCCATCATATGAGTAAAGCGACAAGCTAGAAACGCCATTTTTTGGACGTGAGGAGAGTTACCACTTCATCAAGCCTTCATCAAGCCTATAATTCTTGTATTTCTCTGGTTTATACATCATACAACTACGTCGGCATCGGCTAAACAAGCAAGTCTTATAAACGAAATGATTGTCATTGCATACGTTGTATGACCCGCCGCGCACAAGTACGCGGCTCCCCTATATCCCCCTGTATCCCCCTACCACTGAGCGAAACGACCGTGGGGGTCACAACGTGATACAACGAAATGATAAATAACTGATAAGCGAGCAACAACATATTGAAAAGTGTAATTATTCAACTGGGCTACGAGCTGTGAAGAACCATCAATTAAACAAATAATCAATGAAACAAATAATCAATTAAACAAATAATCAAAGTTTTAGCACATTTTACAGCATAAAATTTAAACAAATGAAAACATATAATGCGTATGTTCCTCTTTCTGTTCAACATTTTCCCCCAAATACCATCAGAACAAATCTGAATCCAGTAATAGAGAATTTATAATTGTTCCATTTAATTGCAAATTCATTGATAATCTTAACCTAAAATCTATTTTCTCTGACACTTCAGTCATTGATTTGCTTCCCATTTTGATTCAGTCTTTTACACCATTACAGATTTATTATGAGTATAATGATCCTATAAGTCTTTCTATTTGTAACTATGCTTCATTCTTAAAGAAACTTTCTATTTCTGATATTAAATCTATTTTAGGTAGTCCATGCGATTGTCACTCCTCCCCTTTCAATTATCCTCCTCATGGACATGTAGTTACTGGTAATTTAGATATTGTTGATAATGTTGAACTTAGGGAAGTACTTTCCTACGGTTGTAAATACAGAATTCCCACATTTAAATCTCCAGATGAGATATATATGTCAGTTACCGAAGCTGTCGATAAATTTATAAAATCAAAAAGTAGAAAGTACTGTCAAAAAGAAGTAAAGTTCAGCGATTGGAAGGAAAAAGTGTTATCAATAGTTTCCAATCGTATTGAATATTACAAGAAAAACTTTCCTAAAACATTTGAAATAAAAGAAAACACACTGGAAAAAGATGATGTTAAAAGAAGTCTTAAATTGCTGAAAAGTAAATACATTATTTGTAGTATCGACAAAGCTTCTGGTAATTTTTCATTTATTTGTAAAAAGTTTTATGTAAAAACTCTTGTCAATGAAATGGGTTTTGATCCTAATACTCTAGAATGTATAGGTAATGATACATATAAACACTGTAGCGAAGACGAGACTCATTATGTCAATAAAATATCTGAGAGTCTTAAGGAGAGATTTAATGTACAAGTTGAAGATAAAAACTTGCGACTAGCACGCATCTTCTGGAACCCTAAGCTTCATAAGAACCCTTACAAGGCGAGGTTCATTGCAGGTGCCCGTTTTTGCGTTACGAAACAACTTAACGTCCAAGTTAACTGTTGTCTGAAACTTTTGAGGAAATACTTTAAGAAATACTGCGAGGCAATCTACAACAACAGCGGTATAAACATGTTTTGGAGCATAGATTCCTCAAGTGAATTCCTTGAAGCTATCAAAAATAGCGATGTTTATAATATACAAGTATATGATTTTACTACTCTTTATACCAGATTAGACTTGATTGAAGTAGAGAATATGATTAATGAAGTTGTTGATTTAATATTTTCAGACCGTAATAGATATATTTGTATTTCTAAAAGAGACAGTAATACATGTTTCTTTTCCAATAAAACCTATGATTCTCATGCCTGCTTTAGTCAAGATGACCTAAAAGAGGCTGTTAAATTTATTATTTATAACACTTATGTCGTCTTCGGTGGGATTGTATTCATACAAACCAAGGGTATTCCTATGGGTGGAAATTCAAGTTCCCCTATAGCTGATCTCACTGTTGGCAAAAAGGAATTTAATTATATGAAACGTTTACTTCAGGAAAAGAAAATGGGATTAGCAAAGATATTATCCAATAATAAACGATATGTTGACGATTTATCTATTATTAACTACCTTTACTTTCATCAATTGATTAAAGATATTTATCCTAATTCATTGGAGATGGAGCGAGCTGGTTCCAATAATAAAATCATTAACTACCTTGATTTAAATATTAATATTTCCACAGAAGGACTAGAAATATCAGTGTATAACAAAACCGATGATTTTAATTTTCATGTTGTATCCCTTACATTTCCTCACAGTAACATCCCAACCGAGGTTGGCTACAACGTTTTTTCAAGTCAAGTTCTTAGATATGGTAATGTTTGCACTAGATTGGATATCTTTACCTCCCATCTTCACAAAATATTCAAAATTCTAATTGATAGAGGATATAGCCGTGATAGACTGATTAAAGGCATTAAACGTTGTCTGAGGAAATATGATAACGTTTTCAGGAAGATCGGTATTCTAGATGACCATAACATTATTAAAGAACTCCCCTGATATCTTTTGATTTATTGAAACACGGGTACTAACTCTGCTAAACTGAACAAATTCTGAAACTTAGGTGAATAAGTGTACAACGTGCTAAACCGAAGTTCAGACTGACCAGTGAAAATGGGCGAGCGTACCAAGTGTCATTTAAATTAGAAGTTTTAGTCAGTGATTTATTGTTGAAGCTTGTAATTACAATATCTAATGCTCCTATAAATACTTTAATTAATTGTTTGTTCCGTTATTCTTTTTCCTTCCTCTTTTCCTTGTCATCCCC